CAAGTGTGTGGGTACCCTGTCTACTACAGATGGAAGATATATTTAATAACTTTAATGTATAATAGTGTTATGAAGTAAATGCACATATATGAAGCTTGGCCTCCATGTTATGAAGCGAATGCTTGTAATTCACTGCCTACTCACTGAGTGTCTAGAGGGGAATGAATACCGCTTCGCCCATATTTGCAAAAGTTCCCAAATCAACCATCTGGCGACTGATTGGGTTGCCTACCGGAGAGTGCTTAACTAACACAGTTCAATAACTAACTCTAACAACAGTCAGCAACCAACAACATCAACAATACGGGAAGATTCATCTCTATAATAGTGCATCAGTCTAATTATTGGGACGAAATACTGTGTGGCGATAAAAATTAATTGGTGATTACAGAACTACTGTCCATCTAATGCTTCCTGATACCCACTGGTTTACTTCCATGGCGGTATCACCTCAAAGGGCGACACCAAGCCTGGACTTGACATGAGTTCACAGCATTATCACCTTCGGCCTAAAGCCCCCTTCCTGGGGTCACCAGTAGCTTACATACAACTGACTAGAGGCTGGCTATGTCCACGGCACTTCACCTCCCAACCCACAAACGCAATCAGCATCCAATGGGATCAGGAACACATCCATCGCAGTTGGATCATAAAGAGATGTTGGGCCCTCAACACCTGGTCTCCATTTAATACACTCAACTGGAGCATTTCTGACACCTGGCGATCATGTCTCTGACACCTGGCAATCACACCTCTGACGCCTGGCATGATCACGCCTCTGACGCCTGGCGATCACGCCTCTGATGCCTGGCGATCACGCCTCTGACGCCTGGCGATCACTCCTCTGACGCCTGGCGATCACTCCTCTGACGCCTGGCGATCACGCCTCTGACGCCTGGCGATCACGCCTCTGATGCCTGGCGATCACGCCTCTGACGCCTGGCGATCACGCCTCTGACGCCTGGCGATCACTCCTCTGATGCCTGGCGATCACTCCTCTGACGCTTGGCGATCACGCCTCTGACGCCTGGCGATCACGCCTCTGACGCCTGGCGATCACTCCTCTGACGCCTGGCGATCACTCCTCTGACGCCTGGCGATCACTCCTCTGACGCCTGGCGATCACTCCTCTGACGCCTGGCGATCACTCCTCTGACGCCTGGTGATCACACCTCTGAGGCCTGGTAAATTGAACCATAAAGTGAGTTTAGCACACAAGCATTTCACAAAGTAATGAATATTTTATTTAATTTTTGTGTCAGCTGGAGTGATGAGAGTTCTTAAAGGCTAACAAATTCTAATCCTGATATATAATAGCTGACTGGTGAAATAAATTATATGGAGTTGGCACAATAGGCTTTACAGATGAATGATGAGTACACCCTGAACAGATAACACGATTTGAGTTGAACTCATCTTCAGCAGCCAGCGCAGAGTTCTAGTACTGATCGTACTGGTCACAGTCTGGTTATATGCCGGTCTTGCCTTTCCTCTGAGTTTAGTGAGCCAGCCAGACCTTCTGGTTACACCCAGATGCTCCATTCTCTCCAGGTCATAATAATCTTGTTTCTCCACTGATTTCACTGCTTGTTCCCAAAAAGCCTTGACCACATGTCTTGCCATGTATCAATTCACCACCCAGTGGTGCAGATCCAGCCAATCTGCTGCCTGTTCATTACCCACCATGCGGTCATGGCCTGGAGAAAAGATCCAAAGTATGCTTACTACCCGTGACCTTCCCAGTGAAGCTTGCCACTCTGCTCGAAACACCCCTGTCTTCACCTTTTTCAGCATGCTTTTAGATTGTTACAATTACCACATGTGTATGAATCTTGTTCTCTAGCCACCGGAGAGCTGCAGTTACTGACTCCACCTCCATTCTCATACTAGATGTTGTGTTGTATGCTAGGCTGTCTTGCACTAAATATTTTCCATTGGCTTTTGCTAAGAACTCCCAAGCACTTCTCTTTTCTCTCAACATAAAATATCTGTGGATAATCAGATTACCTGGGTGTAAATCGTCATGAATCGTGTCTCCTGTACATCTCAGGATCACCTGCATAGCTTCAATGTGTAGTCATTCCAATTATTTCTAGCTGTCTCATCGAGACAGTGAGTAACCCCTATCCATAACAATCACTGAGATGATTAAGTGCTGGTACAGTGTGAACAGCATTCTCTGCCTCATGTCCATCGCTGCCATAATAGATGACACGAGTCATAAAGATTTCTGGACAGAAGTGGGTACATGTAGAAAACTGTTTGCCAACATCAGAAGGAGACAATCTACATTTGTGGTCATGTCATGAGGAGAAAACTGGAGCACAGGACGGTGGGAAAGTTGGAGGAGAGGAGAGGCAGAGGAAGAAATGCTGGACGTTTTGACATCATGGCATGGAAGATCATCTGCATCTGAAATGATTGAAAATACACAAGACAAAAAGTTGAGGATAGACTTAACTACCAACACCACATCACATGGGCTATAAGAAGACTGGGATCTCCTTTGAACTTCGTCCTCATATTATGGCGGCCAAACAAATACCCTAACAGGGCCTCAGTCATATGCAAATTGCGGAGTTCTTCCTGAGGAAGAAATCACGGCAAAACTAGGATTACTTGACAATTTCAAGACACGCAACACTGCAGGCGTTAGTAGCAGACGATAATAGAAACATTTGACAATTTTGAGCATTTCCGCAGACGATATAAGCAGACGCTAATAGCAGCCATTGACAATTTTGAGACACGCAACATTACAGATGATAATAGCAATATGGCGGGGATACCACGCGCTCTGACGCAGATTAGCGAGTGTTCTTCCGATTGAAGATTTAGCAGCAGTAGACGTGAGACCAATTGAATGAGCTGATTTTCGGGCACTATTTGCAACTTCTGTGCCACAAATTTCACATATAATATTAATTATCGTAAGTATTTCTCTTAGTTGTTGTCCTTACACTTTTCAGCATGCGCAAAACACGGTTAAATTCACGGCCGACGGTATCCCTCGCGCTGCTATGCGCAGCGAGGATGGGGATGTAAATTAGATGCCTGGGACTCGCAAGCAAATAAATTGGAGGAAGTTGCAGGAGATGTGGTAGCTGCTGCTAGAGTGAGTCCCAGCCATCCAGTTTAGCCCTCCCATTCGCACTGCGCATAGCGGCACTGGGGATACTGTCGGCAGTCTAGCTTAGTAGCGGAAACCGGTCTGCAATTAACATATCGCTGAGACCCTGTTAGAGCATTTGTTTGCCCTCGATTAATATTGGCCTCTTATTCGAAGGCGAACCTAGTTTTGCTGCAATTTGTTCCTCGGCAGGCACTCCGCATTTTACACATGACTGAGGCCTTGTTAGGGTATTTGTTTGGCTGCCATAATATGGGGACGAAGTTTGAAGGAGAGCCGAAGACTGTAATGTCTGACTGTTAAACATTAACAAATGTGACTGAGCAATGTTGCAATTAACATACTTATCTGCATTACATTTTGTTTAACATACCAGTCTGTGTTAAACCTTGTCTTTCTCTCTGGTTGTATCAAACTTTCTTACCTGTCTGGTTGTTTCAGACTGCATTACCTCTCTGTTTGTGACAGACTGTTTCATCTCTGTTTGTGACAAACCTTATGTTACCTCCCTGGTTGTGACAAACTGTATTACCCCTCTGTTTGTGACAAACTGTATTACCCCTCTGTTTGTGACAAAACTTATGTTAACTCCCTGGTTGTGACAAACTGTATTACCTCTCTGTTTGTGACAGACTATGTTTCATCTCTGGTTGTGACAAACTATGTTTCATCTCTGGTTGTGACAAACTGTATTACCCCTCTGCTTGTGTCAGACTGTATTACCCCTCTGCTTGTGACAGACTATGTTTCATCTCTGTTTGTGACAAACTGTATTACCTCTGTTTGTGACAGACTATGTTACCTCTCTGGTAGTGACAGACTATGTTACCTCTCTGGTAGTGACAAACTGTATTACCTCTCTGTTTGTGACAGACTATGTTACCTCTCTGGTAGTGACAGACTATGTTACCTCCCTGGTTGTGACAAACTATTACCTCTCTGTTTGTGACAAACTGTATTACCCCTCTGTTTGTGACAAAACTTATGTTACCTCCCTGGTTGTGACAAACTGTATTACCTCTCTGTTTGTGACAGACTATGTTTCATCTCTGGTTGTGACAAACTATGTTTCATCTCTGGTTGTGACAAACTGTATTACTTCTCTGTTTGTGACAGACTGTATTACCCCTCTGTTTGTGACAGACTGTATTACCCCTCTGCTTGTGACAGACTATGTTTCATCTCTGTTTGTGACAAACTGTATTACCTCTGTTTGTGACAGACTATGTTACCTCTCTGGTAGTGACAAACTGTATTACCTCTCTGGTTGTGACAGGTAAGTCACATTTGACATTGTTAGTTTACACGTGAGACACAAGTTGACAATGTTAGTTTACACGTGAGACACAAGTTGACAATGTTAGTTTACACGTGAGACACAAGTTGACATTGTTAGTTTACACGTGAGACACAAGTTGACAATGTTAGTTTACACGTGAGACACAAGTTGACAATGTTAGTTTACACGTGAGACACAAGTTGACAATGTTAGTTTACACGTGAGACACAAGTTGACAATGTTAGTTTACACGTGAGACACAAGTTGCCATTGTTAGTTTACACGTGAGACACAAGTTGCCATTGTTAGTTTACACGTGAGACACAAGTTGACAATGTTAGTTTACACGTGAGACACAAGTTGACAATGTTAGTTTACACGTGAGACACAAGTTGACAATGTTAGTTTACACGTGAGACACAAGTTGACAATGTTAGTTTACACGTGAGACACAAGTTGACATTGTTAGTTTACACGTGAGACACAAGTAGCCATTGTTAGTTTACACGTGAGACACAAGTTGACATTGTTAGTTTACACGTGAGACACAAGTTGCCTGTTTGTTAATGTATACCTGTATTTGTTGATTAGTTTGCCATGGAGGTCAACTACTTGCACATTTGGCCGAGACATGAGTACATGTTGATTGCCCTACCTAACGTGGACAAGTCATACACAACCACCTTGTTCATGCCCTTCGAGAAGTTTGAGTCCATCACCAGTGAGCAGCAACTGCTGGGCATGTTTCAGCGGGAGTTTCCAGACTCCCTTCCTCTGCTGGGCCAGTGAGTCATTCTTGTCATTCCTAGTGCTGATATGGAAATGTTTAGTTTACTTTTCTATGCCATTATGTCATTCTTGTACAATATTGATGTTGTTATTGTTGATACAGAAATGTTTAATTTACTTGTCTATGCCAGTAATTCTTGTACAATATTGTTGTTATTGTTGATACAGAAATGTTTTGTTTACTTGTTTATGCCAGTAAGTCATTCTTGTACAATATTGATGTTGTTATTGTTGATACACAAATGTTTTGTTTACTTATTGATGCCAGTAAGTCATTCTTGTACGATATTGTTGTTGTTATTGTTGATACAGAAATGTTTTGTTTACTTGTTGATGCCAGTAAGTCATTCTTGTACAATACTGATAATCCTATTGTTGATATGGAAAAGTTGTGTTTACTTGTCTGTGCCAGTGAATCGGTAGGTAGATGTGTACGTTTACTTGTCTGTGCCAGTGAATCGGTAGGTAGATGTGTACGTTTACTTGTCTGTGCCAGTGAATCAGTAGGTAGATGTGTACATTTACTTGTCTGTGCCAGTGAATCAGTAGGTAGATGTGTACATTTACTTGTCTGTGCCAGTGAATAAGTAGGTAGATGTGTACACACTTGAGGAAACAGAGGTTCAGCTGTTAGAGAGCAACAAGAAATCTGGTAGAGACAATTCCTAGGGATGGAACCTGGATCATTGACAGTAAAATAGCTCCCATAAATGTATGATAGCTCCCATAACAGTAAATTAGCTCCCTTTGCAGTGTGACAACTCCCATAACAGTATGATATCTTCCATAACAGTATGATAGCTTTCATAACAGTGTGATACATCCCATAACAGTATGATAGCTCCCATAACAGTATGATAATTCCCATAGCAGTGTGATAGCTTCAATAACAGTTTGATATATTCCATAACAGTATGATAGCTCCTGTAACAGTATGATAGCTCCCATAACAGTATGATATATCCCATAACAGTATGAATGAGTTTTTAGTGAATGTATGAATTTTTTAATTGCGGGTGGGGGGAGGGGGAAGGGGGTGATTTGAGCAGCTGAGGTAAGCCATTAGGCACTCTACTTTCTAGTCTAATGTTGTCAGCTTTGTTGCTTTTCTTTTTTGTACAGGAAGCAGCTGGTTGAGACATTTTTCTCCTCGACACCCCAGGCTATGGTGTCAGTAAAGGTCAGTTGTTGCACAAAAACAATGCAATCCAAAAAAGTTAATCAAGAATTGATATGGCAGCTACTTTTTATTTTTATTTTTGGTGGTGGTTTCTGGACTGCCCTGCCCCTGGATATGGACTTGATTTGGTCCAGGTAGGACAAGCCCCATCACTTACAGCTGAGGGTAACACCCAAGTAAATCCTAGGTCTTGGGTTTGTAACCAGACTAGAGTTCTCATAATACAACTGTCACTAAAGTATTCTACAATTTCTTTGTTCTGTCTCTATTTACAATTTCTCTCTGCCTATAACTGCCATGTCTTTATTTTGTGTGGTAATGTATTTTGATGCTCATCCTCATTATTATTATGATTAATTATTTCTGATTGAAGAACAACAGGTATGCTCAGATAACTAGGATACACTTTGGGGAATTTATGATGGCAGAGTCCCCAAGGATATTTTCTGTGGTGAATTACAGATAGGCAGACTACGTCCAGGCCAGCTTCTGCAATGATGTAAAGACAGCCCAGTGCAACACTATCCTCTAATTTTTGTGCCTACCAAAGCCCAGTGCAACACTATCCTCTGTGATTTCTATGCCTGCCAATAACCCAGTGCAACACTATCCTCTGTGATTTCTGTGCCTGCCAATAGCCAGTGCAACACTATCCTCTGTGATTTCTGTGCCTGCCAATAGCCAGTGCAACACTATCCTCTGTGATTTCTGTGCCTGCCAATAGCCAGTGCAACACTATCCTCTGTGATTTCTATGCCTGCCAATAACCCAGTGCAACACTATCCTCTGTGGTTTCTGTGCCTGCCAATAACCCAGTGCAACACTATCCTCTGTGATTTCTATGCCTGCCAATAACCCAGTGCAACACTATCCTCTGTGATTTCTGTGCCTGCCAATAGCCAGTGCAACACTATCCTCTGTGGTTTCTGTGCCTGCCAATAGCCAGTGCAACACTATCCTCTGTGATTTCTGTGCCTGCCAATAGCCAGTGCAACACTATCCTCTGTGATTTCTGTGCCTGCCAATAGCCAGTGCAACACTATCCTCTGTGGTTTCTGTGCCTGCCAATAGCCAGTGCAACACTATCCTCTGGACACAAGATAAAGTGCCAACAACATTAATTTAGTTATACCTGTGATGTTCCATGTTCTGTTTTTTACATCTGTGATATTCTATTTTCAGTTTCTTACACCTGTGATGTTCCATGTTCTGTTCTTACACTTGCGATAATCCATGTTGTATTCTTACACCTGTGATGTTCCATGTTATGTTCTCACACATGTAATGTTCCAAGTTCTGTTTTTACATCTATGGCATTCCATGTTCCTTTCCTTACCCTTTTGATGTTCCATGTTCTTGTGGCTACACATGTGATGTTTCATGTTCTGTTCTTACACCTGTAAAGTTCCATGTTTTTTTGGCTGCACATGTGATGTTCCTTGTTGTATTCTTACACCTGTGATGTTCCATGTTCTGTTCTTGCACATGTAATGTTCCATGTTCTGTTCTTACACCTGTGATGCTCCTGTACATCAAGAAAACTCTATACCTACTGTCCCCAGTGCCATCCCTACCATGTGAAAGGTCAAGCTGTTTTGCTGGGAGATGCAGCTCATGCCATGGTGCCTTTTTATGGACAAGGAATGAACTGTGTAAGTCTGGTACAGTCTGTAAGTCTGGCATAGAAGACACCTACGATGTGTGTATAGATAGACAAATAAGATTTGTGTACAGACATGCGGACAGTATGTATGCATAGAGGGGCAGAAGAGATGTATGCATAGAGAGGCAGAAAAGATGTATGCATAGAGAGACAGATGACATATTTGTGTAGACAGACAGACCAGATGTCTGCATAGACAGGATGTGTGTGTAGACAGACATACAGGATGTGTGTAGATAGTCAGACAGGATGTGTGTGTAGATAGACAGGATGTGTGTGTAGACAGACAGACAGAATGTGTGTGTAGACAGACAGACAGACATAATGTGTGTGTGTGTAGACAGACAGACAGGATGTGTGTGTGTAGACAGACAGACAGGATGTGTGTGTGTAGACAGACAGACAGGATGTGTGTGTGTAGACAGACAGACATGATGTGTGTGTGTAGACAGACAGACAGACAGAATGTGTGTGTGTAGACAGACAGACAGACAGAATGTGTGTGTGTAGACAGACAGACAGACAGAATGTGTGTGTGTAGACCGACAGACAGAATGTGTGTGTGTAGACCGACAGACAGAATGTGTGTGTGTAGACCGACAGACAGAATGTGTGTGTGTAGACAGACAGACAGAATGTGTGTGTGTAGACAGACATTATAAGACAGGATGTGTGTGTAGACAGACAGGCAGGATGTGTGTGTGTAGACAGACAGACAGGATGTGTGTGTAGACATACAGACAGGATGTGTGTGTAGACAGACAGACAGGATGTGTGTGTAGACAGACAGGATGTGTGTGTAGACAGACAGGCAGGATGTGTGTGTAGACAGACAGACAGGCAGGATGTGTGTGTAGACAGACAGACAGACAGGATGTGTGTGTAGACAGACAGACAGACAGGATGTCTGTGTAGACAGACAGGATGTGTGTGTAGACAGATAGGATGTGTGTGTAGACAGACAGGATGTGTGTGTAGACAGACAGGATGTGTGTGTAGACAGACAGACAGACAGGATGTGTGTGTAGGCAGACAGACAGACAGGATGTGTGTGTAGGCAGACAGACAGACAGGATGTGTGTGTAGGCAGACAGACAGACAGGATGTGTGTGTAGGCAGACAGACAGACAGGATGTGTGTGTGTGTAGACAGGCAGGATGTGTGTGTGTGTAGACAGGCAGGATGTGTGTGTGTGTAGACAGGCAGGATATGTGTGTGTAGACAGGCAGGATATGTGTGTGTAGACAGGCAGACAACCAGGATATGTGTGTACAGACAGACAGACAGACAGGATATGCGTGTGTAGACAGACAGACAGACAGACAGGATATGTGTGTGTAGACAGACAGACAGATAGACAGGATATGTGTGTGTAGACAGACAGACAGATAGACAGGATATGTGTGTGTAGACAGACAGACAGATAGACAGGATATGTGTGTGTAGACATACAGACAGATAGACAGGATATGTGAGTGTAAACAGATAATATGTAAAAATACTGGTGAATAAAATGTCCAGACATTTATTGAATCTGTGTGTGAATCTAATCAGAGTGACTAGAGACATGGACACCTCACTTCTGTTGTTGTAGCTGTCCTGGTGTTAACTTGTATTGTTTTTTTTTTTTTTTATCACACTGTTTGTCCATTTCACTTAGGGTTTGGAAGACTGCATTGTATTAAATGAAATCCTGGACAAATATGGCGACGATTTTGGTAAATATGTTTCCTGTTTTATTTATGTTCATCTTTGTATATGTGTGTGTGATTTGATGTGTCTACAAACATGCACATGAGTGTGTGAGCATGTTTGTACTTTTTTGCCGCTTTGGTCAGGAGCTAGTTCACCTACAGCTTTCACTTATTTTGTAGGAAATAGTTCACCTACACCTTTCCCTTGATTTCCAGGAAATAGTTCACCTACAGCTTTTCCCTGTTTTTCAGTAGTTAGTTCACACACAACTTTTCCTTATTATCTTACACAATATGACAACCACCCTTTTTAAGGTGAAAGAAGAAGAAAACGTAGAAATGATATTATCTAGTATTAAATAAATAACAAATTGTTATGTCTATGATAAATTGCAGGACTGTCCCTAAAGATTCACTGGGCAGATTGAAGCTCAGATTACCAAGCAAATCAAGCTCAAGGGAGATATTGATAGCCCATGTTGTCCCTGAATACATCCAGTAGCTAACTGAACTCAGTCAAGGGACACAATCATCTTGTCCCTGAATACACCTAGTAGCTGAGTTCACTGAAGGGACACAATCATCTTGTTCCTGAATACACCAGTATCTAACTGAGCTCAGTCAAGGGCACAATCATCTTGTCCCTGAATACATCCAGTAGCTATGTGAGCTCACTCAAGGAACACAATCATCTTGTCCCTGAATACATTCAGTAGCTAGGTGAGCTCACTCAAGGGACACAATCATCTTGTCCCTGAATACATCCAGTAGCTAACTGAGCTCACTCAAGGGACACAATCATCTTGTCCCTGAATACATCCAGTAGCTATGTGAGCTCACTCAAGGGACACAATCATCTTGTCCCTGAATACATCCAATAGCTACATGAGCTCACTCAAGGGACACAATCATTTTGTCCCTGAATACATCCAATAGCTACATGAGCTCACTCAAGGGACACAATCATCTTGTCCCTGAATACATCCAATAGCTGAGCTCACTCAATGGACACAATCATCTTGTACCTAAATACATCCAGTAGCTATGTGAGCTCAGTCAAGGACACAATCAGCTTGTCCCTGAATACATCTTGCCTTTCCTCTGAGCCTCGAGCATCTGCCAGAACCTCTCGTCACTCCCCTTTGCATCATTCTCACCAGACTGGTGATCCATCTGCTCCCCGAACTGTACACGCTCTCCCACAAGGGACTAACCACATCTGCCTTATCATGCATCAGTATTCCACCAAGCTGTGCAGAGCCAGCCAGTTTGTCCGCCTGTTCATTTCCCAACACACCTGCCTACACCTGCCTACCAGCATGTTTTTTGAGTCAGTTACAATCATGATGTGTGTGTGTGTCGTGTTCTCTAATCAGTGGAAAGCTGCAGTGACCGCCTCCACCTCCATTCTTAAGTTGGATGTTGTGGGATCATATGCTAGGCTCTCCTGTACCAAACGTCAACCATTAACTTTTGCTAAGAAGCCCCAAGCACTTCTTTTGCCTTTTGACACTGAACTGTCTGTGTAAATGATCAAATCCTCTGAGCGAGCATTATCTTGAATTATTTGCTAAATTTCCATCTCCGTGGCATCTGCTGGCCAGTCTCTGGCATTTTCGGCTCAGTGTGATTATGACTCTACACAAGTCTGACTGTTCAGGTGGCACTTTGACTCACTCCTCTCCTCGCCTAATGCTCTCAAGGATGCAAACCTGTCTGATTGTGTCTTCTGCCTGAGCCATCCCTGACTTCCCTCTTATCAGCAATGACCCTTAACTGCACCCAGAGCTTCATGCAAAAGGTGGTTTATGTCTGCAGCTACCCTGATATATGACTTCGCCTGCATCACCTTGTGCCTACCTGCAACCGTCGGCAAACCAAGGATGTATCGCATACACACCACTGGGGTGTCTCTGGTGCAATCCAGAATGACCCGCATAGCCGCGTTCTGTATGCGCTCTAGTTTGTCCATCTGACTCTTTGAGACGGTAAGCAGTCCCAGGCCATAATCAACCACTGACAGGATCAGGTGCTGATGTAGTGTGAAAAGCATTCTGCTCTATGTCAATTGCAGCCATTGTCTTGAGTGCACTTAGTCCTTTTTGGCATCTTGTCACAACACTCTCCACATGGTCCTTAAATGACAGGCTCCTGTCAAATGTAATTCCTAGATACTTCAGTTTGCTCTCTATGTTGATGTTTCTACCATCTATTGGAGACTTGGAACATTAGCTATAATGATCCTGTTGTCTAGAGAACACCACAAAAGACGCCTTTTCAGGGTGGACGACAGTCCTTCTTTGTGTACACCACTCAGTCATTTTGTCTACTGTCGCTTGTAGCTCCCGGGCTGTTTGTTCCCTCTCTTGCCCCTGCCTTCAAAAGTCAGCATCCTTCTAACTCTCCCACAAAGAGCAGCTAATCCATAGATGTGCACAGTGACAATGTATATCCATTTTTGAATATGTCCCATTTATATGATGTGTACATTCTAATTATAACAGTTAGATAGAATCCAAAACGCTAAACACACTTTACACAGTGCTCCATTAAAATATTTACAAACAAGTTAAAACTATAGGTCAAATGCTGAACACACAGTGGCTAGGATGGTAAGCCATCTGCCTTTATGTCTGAAAGTTGTAGGCTCTCTGGGAATTGTTACAGCTTTGGGAGTTGTGCTTTGTACATAGTTCTCAAGAGGTGGCTAGCCAGATCAAGCCATGTGGGGTACATTCAAGTGCAATGAAGTGGAGAATTGTTTTTACTTTCAACCTATTTGTAACATAAACTCATATAAGTGATTACTTAACAAACAGTGAGCTGGCAGCCATTTGTGTGTGGTAATAAGGCCCATTTTGAGGCCCCGGTGAGGCCCTAATGTCCCAATTGCAATGATATATAGTTGCTAGAGTTTCATTAAACAATAAAATAGTTATGGCTATAAAATGCAAATATTTAGTCATTTCCAACTTTCATTTTACTGAGACACAAATAAATCAACCTCCATCTTTTGTCAGCTTACACTATAATTTATCTGAGCTGGTATCCATCACTTAAATGTTAATATGTTTGCTTAGAATTAACTCACAGGCTTCCTTAGGTTTGTATTTTCATCTCTGTCTGGCTGTGATGGTTTCATAAGTAAAAATCTAATGTATACAAACTTCTCTGGCATCCCTAATAGGGTAGGTCGGGGCAAAGACCCGCAGTTTCATGTTTTTTACACATTTCTGGAAAACCGTTCGCATGTATTCTATAAAACTTCATGTGGATATAGTTTAGCCACTTACCCGCCATGTATATGGCTACTGAGTCTGTGTTCTTATTAATAATCAAAATAAATGCATTTTCTGGGCATCTATACGTTGCGGGTCTTTGCCCCAGCGATGGGGCAAAGACCCGCAGCCGCGGGTCTTTGCCCCATTTGTAAAATTAATGACATAAGACTGGGAAAAAATTATTGTAAAATCATTCTTTATTCAAGAAATTAAAAAATCACTGAGGTCATTTGAAAAACTGATCATATTTTTAAATCGGGTTGAACTGTTGAAAATTGGCTTCGAAAGTTTCAAAACAATGTCTCCCTTTTCAAAATAGGACTCTTCACTTGTTTCTGTAAACCTTTGAGTTAGAGGCGCTCGCTTGTAGAAGATACCATCGTATCCCTCATCATCACAATCAGTAACTTTAACCACATACAACGTAAAAGAGTTTTTTGCTTTTCCATGCACCTTGACGACAGCAAAGTCACCAGGTTGCAGTTCTAAAGCACAATCCAGCTCTTCTTCTCCCGAAGACAAGACGGTCAAGTCAGAGCTGCTGTTCTGGACAGAGAAATCCGAATCAGAGTCTGATGAAGTGTTATCCAGGGACAACTTTCTTTTCATTGCCGTTGCCTTTGTATCTAGAAGCAAGGCCCTTTTAACATTTTTCTTTTCTGCGCTGTCTTTTTCCTCTTGCAATATTTCCATGCGTTGCAAATTTGGACTTGATGTTAACAGGGTCGATTTCAAACCTTTTCCTGAACGTTTCTTGTTTATTTTAATTTTTGGCAGAGGACAAATGTCACTTGGTGACGTTCCAATGTTGCTATGAGAAGGTCCTGAGATGTCATGGGGAGGAGCTATGTCCTCTATGTCGGCTTCTTCTAGAGTATCGTCGACAAGAATAGGGCTTTGACCCACAATGACATCCGGAACTTCGACAGGAGCAGTAGCAGCTTCTGTAGACTGCAGAGCAATAAATATTTCCTTATCTTCATCCATATCCTCTTCTTCCTTATACTGGTCGGTGACCTCGGCAGGCAAGAAATCGTCATCAGTGAATTTGTTCTGGTCCAGAGGAAAAATGCCAGTGGTTAGAAATCCTTGAACTGCATTTTCTACGGTTGCAGCTTTCTGGAAAGCCTTCGCGAACAGTTCAGCAACGTGATATTCGCTAAGGACTTGGCCTGGATGAGAAGTTGTCCAGTTATCCGCAGCATTGTCATAATATGCTTTCAATGGTCTGAAAAAATTACGGTCGAGGGGTTGCGTCTTATGACTACTGTGTGGTGGTAAGCTAAGCATATGGATGTGGTTTGATTTGGCGTAGCTTATAGCCTCCAAGCTGGTATGCGAGGTATGATTGTCAAGGATCAACAGAAGTGGCCTCTCTTGAGAGGGATTCGCCAACTTCTTAAAGTGTTGTAGCCACTTTAAGAATGTAGGAATGTTCATATAGCCTTTGTCAGTCACACTCATGTCACACCCAGTTGGTCCATCCTTTATGAGAAGCAAGTTTAGTCTCTTTCTTGCAAAAATGAAGTAAGGAGGCACATAATGTCCTGTGGCACTCATGGCACAGACTACAGTCAGTTTTACCTTGCTCAGCAGCGACAGATTTAGCAACCTCTTTTTTTCCAGTTGGCGCTACATGCTTGGGTATCTTGCCTGGAACAGTCTGAATCCCTGTTTCATCCATATTATAGATAAAGTCGGGTGTAAACTTGTACCGGCGCAGAACACTCGTAAGGTTGTCAAAGTATTGGTCCAGTTGCAGTCGATTAAAGCCCATTGTCCTTGCAATGCTCGTCTTTCGTGGTGTCCGCAATGATAGTCTGTTTCTTTTCATAAAGGAATGTGTGAAATCCTTTCCAGCCAGCTTTGTTGCAGTGGAAAAGGGATGAGGTATGTTATTTTTCTCTGCATAAGAATACAACAGAAACCGGAGAGACTTGAGGGTTAATCCAAAAAATCGCTGGTCTAGGGCTTTACAATGTTCTACTAACTGTTTTTCATGTTCATTGGAAAAGACAGTCTGGAATCGCCCCAGCTTTTCTGCTCCAACACCAGTCTTCAATCTGTTCCGTAGCGTTACTCGTGGAAACCGATCACTTTGGCCGCTTGTCTAATAGAAACACCCGTCTCTATCAGAGCCTTGGCTTCGTTCAGTAAGGATTCAGTGAGTGGTTTCTGGCTCGTCTTCCTTTTGTAATTCCTGGAAATAAATAACAGAATCATATTGTAAACAACTGAGGATGATAAGGGAAAAACTCACATTCGTGGGCAATGCCGCGCATTCATGGGGTAAAGACACGCATTCGTGGGGTAAAGACACGCACGCGGGTCTTTGCCCCACCAGGCTGCGGGTTTTTGCCCCATTTTATCATAATTTAACATTCGTAACTTTTAACCAATAAAAACTAAATAACCTCAACAGGTCACGTCTATTTCTACTGTTAATATGTGTTACTTTTTGATGAATAAGATAAGTAACAGCTTTATTGCAAACTTTTTGTGTGAAGGTGCACTGACAAGAGTCACAGTATTAATTAAAAGTTTAAAAAAGCAACTGACCTCATTTTCTTGGCTGGTGACAGCAGGACTTGGTTGAATTTTGGCAACCCACGTGATACCGTCTAGCCAGTGTCGGCCAAGCTAAAGCCGGCCACAAAAAACAACCGGAACATCTAAATGGACTGCGTGTTTTTGCCCCACACGGGTCTTTGCCCCGACCTACCCTAGTAGCTAACTGTGCTCAGTCAAGGGACACAATCATGGCCCAGACTTGGAGAGTCTAGTCATTGAAGAGTGCAGTCATTGAAGAGTGCAATCATTGAAGAGTCTAGTCATTGAAGAGTGCAATCATTGAAGAGTCTAGTCATTGAAGAGTGCAATCATTGAAGAGTCTAGTCATTGAAGAGTCTAGTCATTGAAGATATCTAGTACAGAAACCAGGACCACAGGTCAGCCAGCATTAACAAAGACAAGTGATCATGAGCTGGCACAGTTACGTTGTGGTTATTTCAATTGTTCATGCCTGTTTGTGATTTCAGACTGTTACTAATTTGATTCTGTTCTCTTTCAGAAAAAGCATTGCCAGAATACACACAATTACGGCACCCCGATGCTGTTGCTATTTGTGAACTTGCAATGTACAATTACATTGAGGTACAGCACTGTTTTTTGTAGATTTATGAACAACTACATTAGATGTCATTTTCTTCATGATCTGTTAGATTGTAATTATAATCCATGTTTAAGAGTTGTTAATTCACATAAATTACCAGTATAATTTATCTTTGCTTCCAGGTCAATCCAGTCTAAAATGGGTGCAGGGTAAAGTCCAAGCAAGTCAAGGCAGCCACTGTCATGTTGGTCACATCACCCACCAAGTTTAGGTCTAGCCCTATGTGCCCAGTATACCTAAAAGTGTGGAGAAGGGCCCTTATGATTCTCAGTTTTAAGAAATCAAAGGGGGACAAAAAAGCAGAAAAATATTCAAGTTTTGGTCAGTTATTATAAAACTCCAGGGTATTGAACCCCTAGACCACCAAATAGACAGGAGAACACAAGGACTACCAGACAGACAGGAGAATATGAGGACCACCAAAGAGAAGGGGGAACATGCTGCAAAAAAGCAGTGGTCAAGTTGCTCAAAGGAACAATCTTTAATTGTTTTTTTCAATTATTATAATTTAAAAATACCAGAAAATGAAATATTTTAGTAAAGGGAAACTATCTTTTAAGTGAAAAAGAGCAAAGAGTTAATGGCCTTCCCTTTCCTTTGACTATAATAAGTGGGGCTTTAAGGACTTTGGCACATATTATAATCCAAAACAGTGATGCCTTTATGACATTATTATGGAATAAACATTTTCATAAATGAGATTTGTGTGTATATCTTCAAACTGTCACAGTGTGACATCTAATATTTGTGTGTGTATCTTCAAACTGTCACAGTGTGACATCTAATATTTGTGTGTATATCTTCAAACTGTCACAGTGTGACATCTAATATTTGTCTGTGACATCTAATATTTGTGTGTATATCTTCAAACTGTCACAGTGTGACATTTAATATTTGTGTGTATATCTTCAAACTGTCACAGTGTGACATTTAATATTTGTGTGTATATCTTCAAACTGTCACAGTGTGAAATCTAATATTTGTGTGTATATCTTCAAACTGTCACAGTGTGACATCTAATATTTGTGTGTATCTTCAAACTGTCACAGTGTGACATCTAATATTTGTCTGTATATCTTCAAACTGTCACAATGTGACATCTAATATTTGTGTGTATATCTTCAAACTGTCACAGTGTGACATCTAATATTTGTGTGTATATCTTCAAACTGTCACAGTGTGACATCTAATATTTGTGTGTGTATCTTCAAACTGTCACAGTGTGACATCTAATATTTGCATGTATATCTTCAAACTGTCACAGTGTGACATCTAATATTTGTCTGTATATCTTCAAACTGTCACAGTGTGACATCTAATATTTGTGTGCAAATCTTCAAACTGTCACAGTGTGACATCTAATATGTGTGTGCATATCTTCAAACTGTCACACTGTGACATCTAATATTTGTGTGTATATCTTCAAACTGTCACAGTGGGACATCTAATATTTGTGTGCATATCTTCCAACTGTTACACTGTGACATCTAATATTTGTGTGTATATCTTTAAACTGTCACAGTGTGACATCTAATATTTGTGTGTATATCTTCAAACTGTCACAGTGTGACATCTAATATTTGTGTGTAAATCTTCAAACTGTCACAGTGTGACATCTAATATTTGTGTGTATATCTTCCAACTGTCACACTGTGACATCTAATATTTGTGTGCATATCTTCATCCTGTCACACTGTGACATCTAATATTTGTGTGCATATCTTCAAACTGTCACAGTGTGACATCTAATATTTATATGTGTATCTTCAAACTGTCACAGTGTGACATCTAATATTTGTGTGCATATCTTCATCCTGTCACACTGTGACATCTAATATTTGTGTGCATATCTTCAAACTGTCACAGTGTGACATCTAATATTTGTATGTACAGTTTCAAACTGTCACACTGGGACATCTAATATTTGTGTGCACATCTTTTAACTGTCACATTTAATTTTAAATGCTAAGTCGACCTTGTCCTTAACTTCCAGATGCGCTCCAAGGTCACCACCAGGTCATTTTGGTTGAGGAAACAGTTGGACAATTTTCTCTACTGGCTCTTTCCCAGTACATGGGTGCCTTTGTACACAATGGTGAGTCTAGTATATACACTGTCTTGTACACAATGGTGAGTCTAGTATATACACTGTCTTGTACACAATGGTGAGTCTAGTATATACACTGTCTTGTACACAATGGTGAGTCTAGTATATACACTGTCTTGTACACAGTGGTGAGTCTAGTATATACACTATCTTGTACACAATGGTTAGTCTAGTATATACACTGTCTTGTACACAATGGTGAGCCTAGTATATACACTATCTTGTACACAATGGTGAGCCTAGTATATACACTATCTTGTACACAATGGTGAGTCTAGTATATACACTGTCTTGTACACAATGGTGAGTCTATTATATACAGTGTCTTCTACACAATGGTAAGTCTAGTATATACACTGTCTGGTACTCAATGGTGAGTCTAGTATATACACCGTCTTGTACACAATGGTGAGTCTAATAAATACACTATCTTGTACACAATGGTGAGTTTTGTATATACACTATCTTGTACACAATGGTGAGTCTAATATATACACTATCTTGTACACAATGGTGAGACTTGTATATACACTATCTTGTACACAATGGTGAGTCTAGTATATACACTGTCTTGTACACAATGGTGAGTCTAGTATATACACTGTCTTGTACACAATGGTGAGTCTAGTATATACACTGTCTTGTACACAATGGTGAGTTTAGTATATACACTGTCTTGTACACAATGGTGAGTCTAGTATATACATTATCTTGTACACAATGGTGAGTCTAGTATATACTCGTCTTGTACACAATGGTGAGTCTAGTATATACACTGTCTTGTACACAAATGTGAGTCTGGTTTACACTTGTACACAATAATATGGTAGTAACCATGAGATAAGATAGAAACACATGTGAATACTAGTAGAAACAAGAGAAATAGAAGCAGGGCTCAGACCAGCATGTGAAACCCAGAACGAGGGTTATAAGGTTAGACCAAGGTCTAATCAGTCAGTATGTGTTTGTCAGCTGGCGTGAAGGTTGTATCTGAGAGACGCGTGAATGTGACAGTGTACATTTGAAGATGTGAAGGAGATTCTATTCCCTGAGAAGACAGCCAAATGACAGCTTGATGACAGCCTAACCAGAAGTGGTAGCCGAGTTCTAACCGGCCAAGAAGTCTAACCGCCATGATCAGAGTTACTGGATCAACCTGCATGTGTGTATAATGTGTGTAAGGATACAGGACTAAAATGTAACAACTGTGGAAGGGAATAGATGCCAGTTATATACTTGATAAATGCCATCATCTTGCTGGACCAGCGAGCTAATAGTAGACATTGACTGGACCTGCTAATAGTAGACATTGACTGGACCTGCTAGCTAATAGTAGACATTGACTGGACCTGCTAGCTAATAGTAGACATTGACTGGACCTGCTAGCTAATAGAAGACATTGACTGGACCTGCCAGCTAATAGTAGACATTGACCGAACCTGCTAGCTAATAGTAGACATTGACTGGACCTGCTAGCTAATAGTAGGCATTGACCGGACCTGCTAGCTAATAAAAGACATTGACTGGACCTGCTAGCTAATAGTAGACATTGACTGGACCTGCTAGTGTAACGAAATATAGGCAGAAAAGGGGTTAAATGAACAAGCATACATTTCAGATCACCACACAGCGTACTAATCCATCACTGTGTGAAATGACAGAAATAGGTGATTAGAAAGCCATGGCCTAGCCAGCTATGCAGAACACACCGCCATGACATCTGACAGTGAGGGATGAAACATTCGACGAGTGCCCGTGAACTGTGAGATACGTTCATCCAGACGTGACCACCAAAGACAGGTGACAGAGAAGTGATGGAGAGGGTACGCCAGAAAGGCGGGAAAGCGGGGGAATAAAGTTAGTCCCGGAACCGCTGGAGAGGACAGTTAGCCACGGAACCGCTTGGTAGGACAGGTTAGGGCTGAACCGCTGGAAAGACCGGTTAGGAGAAAACTAGTGATTTACTTCGTTTAGAAGGTATATGTTAAACTTGGAGTTTAGCTAGAACAGTGGTTAAGGAACTCGTAGAGAGTCATACGAATAGCCTGTATCCAGATAATACAGTGTTCATATACTATTGAATTTATAAAGCCTCTATGACTGGAATATTGTAAATAAACAGCTCTTGTGTAATTGTTACATCACTGGCCTTGTTCTTGAGTACGATTGAAGAGAGATACGAACTATATTCATTCACTTGGCCGACTTAGGCACATCTATTTCTTGGGGGATGTATAGGCACGACTGTGCCACACTAGCTAATAGTAGACATTGACTGGACCTGCTAGCTAATAGTAGACATTGACTGGACCTGCTAGCTAATAGTAGGCGTTGACCGGACCTGCTAGCTAATAAAAGACATTGACTGGACCTGCCAGCTAATAGTAGACATTGACTAAACCTGCTAGTTAATAGTAGACATTAACTGGACCTGTCAGCTAATATGAGACATTAACTGGACCTGCTAGCTAATAGTAGACATTGACTGGACCTGCTAGCTAATAGTAGACATTGACTGGACCTGCTAGCTAATAGTAGACATTGACTGGACCTGCTAGCTAATAGTAGACATTGACTGGACCTGCCAGCTAATAGTAGACATTGACTGGACCTGCTAGCTAATAGTAGACATTGACTGGACCTGCCAGCTAATAGTAGACATTGACTGGACCTGCCAGCTAATAGTAGACATTGACTGGACCTGCTAGCTAATAGTAGACATTGGCTGGACCTGCTAGCTAATAGTAGACATTGACTGGACCTGCTAGCTAATAGTAGACATTGACTGGACCTGCTAGCTAATAGTAGACATTGACTGGACCTGCTAGCTAATAGTAGACATTGACTGGACCTGCTAGCTAATAGTAGACATTGACTGGACCTGCTAGCTAATAGTAGACATTGACTGGACCAGATCGCCTGTGAAACTGTAATAAAGAATTTTACCTGGATATCGCCTACTCGTTACCAACTGTGTGCATCCAGAATGTCATCCATGTCTTTCATATGGAAAACCCCTAGCAACCAGTCAGCACTCCGAGGAGACAGTATCCCAAGTTGGAGCTCTATAACGGTAAACCTGAGGAAGAACAGCTAACATTTCTAAGATGCAACAGCGGGAGGTGCTAAGAACTGAACCTGTCATCCTTGTCATTGTGAGTTGGAAGCAGGCCATAGAGACAGAAGACAAGCAAATAAGAGGTGAAAACCGATGATAAAGCGAAGTTTTTGGAATCATCTAACGTCTTCAACAGTAGCAGCGAAATTCCAACTTAATAGCAACGTTAATGGTGGGTAATTTCATCAACAATGTGAATAATTGAAGAGACGACATAGACTGCCCTGGTACACGACACTTTGCGACGGCTTACTAAAAACTTGACAGTTGATTGACAAGTCACCCATCAAATAGCAGAACATCACATCAACGGTGATACATTTAAACAACTGAAACAGACGAACCTTCGATTGAATACAAGAAAGCTGTAGAAAATTCAGTTTAAAGATTAAACAGTATATCCTCCTATCTAGTCAGTCAAAAATAGCGGAGATGGCACATCACTAACAAGTCGTCACTTTTACGACTTCACCTAAAATTTCAAACTGTTACCAGAACTCAACTCCATTTTGCTCAAAAATACCTTGCAAACAGATTGTGAGGTAGCGGAAGTTATCTCGAGTGGCGAAGTTTGAACGATTTGCTACAACAAAATCAGAATTTATCTGATTTATTCAAAAGTCAGCAATACTAACACCATATCAACGCACCACGCATTGGCGTCCAACACTGAAACAAAGGTCAGCACAACCATTGACAGACCAAAGCAGCCATGTATGATTGACAGACTGATGGGAAGAGCTTCACACAACTTGAGTTATTGAAATTATGATACACACCTGATTTAATTCTAAACTGACAATGCAATATTGATTAATAACTACATTTAAGATGGCATATAAACACTTGTGAGCATGAAGTAAAAAAATTTGTGGTTAAGTAAATAGGAACTCTTTTATTTTTCAGATTAAATGGAAGATCGTCCCATAAATGAGCAGCAGAATATGCTAAACTTGTTTAATAAAAATTTTTTCTAGATTCACACAAATGTAATAAACTTAGTCACTCGCTGTTCATAGGACTGGATTTAATCAACTGGACAGTCAGGAGTATTTTGAGATAAAATTTTAAGAATAAATTTTGTCTTGTTAAAATTTAAATGTTTACTAAATGGCAGAAGTCGTGGATGACTATAGAGATGATTTTTATTGATGTGTTTTCTATATTAAACCAGATGTGAAGCGCAATTTTGGGGGAAAGAAAGGCAGAAGAAGAAGAATGCCCAATTTTGAAGAGACTTAGTCTTTGATCCTTACCATACCTGAGGCCCTGAACGTTACTGTTACCTATACCTGGGCTTCTAAGCAATAAAGAGGGGAAAAAACCAACATGATATAGAAAAATGTTAGTTACATGAAGAAAAGTGGTTGAAATAAGATGGAACTTGGAGACATTGTAGAAAATAGGCCTACCTTTCAGCTAGCGCCAATATTCTAACTTTGTATGCCAGTTCACCCCACAGGATGAGCCTTGTTTCACACAGAGGTACTTTGTGCAAAGTGAGCACCAGATATTGCTCTTCACCCTCTTCTATGGATTGTCTTTGTAAGACACTCCAGGATTTTGCTTGTTGTACCTGGAGTGCTTTTCCATGACCACAAATCAGACATGATTAGACAATGTCCCAGGGAATCTCTGGAAAAGGATTGCCTGGGGTCATCTGTTGATGGCACTGTGGGAGTTCGACTTTGCTATATGCAATTGATGGGCTTGGAGGTTGATTTTCTCTGTCATATTTTGCCAGAAAGATTCACCCAAAACAAGTATAAAAGTCATTCGGTTCACTCTCCTCTTTGATAGATCTAGGAATGTTCACTGGGCCTTTTCCATCCTCATTGAAATTCAGACCTCTATTTGGAAATTCAAAATGTGCAACCTTCATCACCATCTAGATCTCCCTCTCAGCTGTTTGAGGGACATGCCCCCCTTCTCTTACCATTGATCTAGCTCTAGATCTCCCACCCTCAGCTGTTTGAGGAACATGCCCCCTTCTCTTATCATTGATCTAGCTCTAGATCTCCCCCATCAGCTGTTTGAGGGACATGCCCCCCTTCTCTTACCATTGATCTAGCTCTAGATCTCCCCCATCAGCTGTTTGAGGAACATGGCCCCTTCTCTTATCATTGATCTATCTATAAGGTTCAAGATTCTACTCATCACTGGAGCTCTCACTGTCTGTGTCACTTGAACTGGAAATGTATTCTTGATGAAATTCTGACTCCACATGCAAAAGAGGTTAGGTGATCTGTGCCTAGTCAGGGATTCCCCACAATTGTGATGCAGTCATTCAGATGTTTTCATAGCTGATGTGATTGTGATGCGGTCATTCAGATGTTTTCATAGCTGATGTGATTGTGGTGCAGTCATTCAGATGTTTTCATAGCTGATATGATTGTGATGCAGTCATTCAGATGTTTTTATAGCTGATGTGATTGTGATACAGTCATTCAGATGTTTTCATAGCTGCTGTGATTGTGATGCAGTCATTCAGATGTTTTCATAGCTGATGTGATTGTGATGCAGTCATTCAGATGTTTTCATAGCTGATGTGATTGTGATGCAGTCATTCAGATGTTTTCATAGCTGATATGATTGTGATGCAGTCATTCAGATGTTTTTATAGCTGATGTGATTGTGATACAGTCATTCAGATGTTTTCATAGCTGCTGTGATTGTGATGCAGTCATTCAGATGTTTTCATAGCTGCTGTGATTGTGATGCAGTCATTCAGATGTTTTCATAGCTGATGTGATTGTGATGCAGTCATTCAGATGTTTTCATAGCTGATATGATTGTGATGCAGTCATTCAGATGTTTTTATAGCTGATGTGATTGTGATACAGTCATTCAGATGTTTTCATAGCTGCTGTGATTGTGATGCAGTCATTCAGATGTTTTCATAGCTGATGTGATTGTGATGCAGTCATTCAGATGTTTTCATAGCTGATGTGACTGTGAGCATTGATGCTGTCTGCAGGTCTCCTTCACCAGAATCCCCTATCACCAGTGTGTGCTGCACAGGAAATGGCAGGACAGGGTAAATAACTCTCTCTGATATTTTCAGGCATATTTATTTCCAGACGTATGACATTTCTGCTCTTATAGGTTTTGAAAAGTCACCTCAGTCAAGACTTGGTCATCTCAATATAGTTTTTTTTTTTTTTTCATTAACGGGAATGTGAGTAGAGATGAGAAAAGAAGAATAGTGAGGGGAATGAATAGAAGAATGTGGGTGTAGACAGGAATGGAAGAATGGTTGAGGGGCAGGAATGGAAGAATGGGTGAATGGCAGGAATGGAAGAATGGGTGAGGGGCAGGAATGGAAGAATGGGTGAGGGACAGGAATGGAAGAATGGGTGAGGGGCAGGAATGGAAGAATGGGTGAGGGGCAGGAATGGAAGAATGGGGGAGGGGCAGGAATGGAAGAATGGGGGAGGGGCAGGAATGGAAGAATGTTTGAGGAGCAGGAATATATAAATGTTGGTAGGAGCAGGAATATATAAATGTTGGTAGGAGCAGGAATATATAAATGTTGGTAGGAGCAGGAATATATAAATGTTGGTAGGAGCAGGAATATATAAATGTTGGTAGGAGCAGGAATATATAAATGTTGGTAGGAGCAGGAATATGTAAATGTTGGTAGGAGCAGGAATATGTAAATGTTGGTAGGAGCAGGAATATATAAATGTTGGTAGGAGCAGGAATATATAAATGTTGGTAGGAGCAGGAACGGAAGAATGCAAGCAGACAGCATACATTCAGTGGATGAATCTGAATCACTACCCTACCATGGAACCACTACCCTACCACAGCTAAGTGGAATTTCAGGAGAACAGAAGCTGTACTGATGTAATATTCACACTTGGACAAATAATGGAAAGGACGGTAGAATTTAATCACGAATTACCTGTAGACCAAGAGAGTGAAGATGTGTGAGGGAAGATGTGTGACTGAAGGCATGTGAGTAAAGGCAAGTGAGTGAAAGTGTATGGGTGAAAATGTGTTACTGAAGATATGTGAGTGAAGACATGCGACTAAAATATGTGAGTGCAGACATGTGACTGAAACATGTGAGTGCAGACATGTGACTAAAACATGTGAGTGCAAGCATGTGACTGAAGACATGTGACTAAAACATGTGAGTGCTGACATGTGAGTACAGATATGTGAGTGCAGACATGTGACTTAAACATGTGAGTGCAGACATGTGACTTAAACATGTGAGTGCAGACATGTGACTAAAACATGTGAGTGCAGACATGTGACTTAAACATGTGAGTGCAGACATGTGACTAAAACATGTGAGTGCAGACATGTGACTGAAGACATGTGACTAAAACATGAGTGCAAGCATGTGAGTGAAGACATGTGACTAAAACATGTGAGTGAAGACATGTGACTAAAACATGTGAGTGCAGACATGTGACTAAAACATGTGAGTGCAGACATGTGACTAAAACATGTGAGTGCAGACATGTGACTAAAACATGTGAGTGCTGACATGTGAGTACAGATATGTGAGTGAAGACATAAGACTGAAAAAAGGGAGTGAAAACATGAGTGTGAAGACCTGTGAGTTAAGGCATTTGAGAGAAGGCATGTGCAGAAAGACATGTGAGTTTAGACACATGTGAGTGATGATGTGAGTTAAGACACATGTGAGTGATGATGTGAGTTAAGACACATGTGAGTGATGATGTGAGTTAAGACACATGTGAGTGATGATGTGAGTTAAGACACATGTAAGTGATGATGTGAGTTAAGACACATGTGAGTGATGATGTGAGTTAAGACACATGTGAGTGATGATGTGAGTTAAGACACATGTGAGTGATGATGTGAGTTTAGACACATGTGAGTGATGATGTGAGTTTAGACACATGTGAGTGATGATGTGAGTTAAGACACATGTGAGTGATGATGTGAGTTAAGACACATGTGAGTGATGATGTGAGTTTGAAGGCATGTGAGTGAAGGTGTTCAAGTTAAGATATGTGAGTGATAACACGTGACTGCAGATCTGTGATTAAAGACATGAAAGCGAAAGCATGTGAGTTAAGACATGTAAGTGAAGATGTGTGAGAGAAGATTTATGAGTGAAGATGTATGAGTGAAGATGTATGAGTAAAGACATGTGACTGAAGACATGTGACTGAAGTCAAGTGAGTGAAGGCATGTGAGTGAAGACATGTGAGTATTTGAAGACATGACTGTCACCCACTTCTAAAATTGATAATGTTCTCTTGCAGATGTTGACCCTGGGACTGGGCACAGCCGCAGCAGCTACAGGAGTAGCACTGGTGGCCACCTGGTACACTTTAGGCCACCAAGGTCACATCTTCAGTAACCTCCAGTTACCTGTCTCCTTGACAACAACGATGAGCCAAGTCCAGCAGTGGCTCCACATTTAGAGCCATCATCATTAGTTCATGAAAATGTTCATACCTTTAAATAAATTGAACACAAATCCAATTCCCATTTTCTAGAACTAATATTCAGATTTTTTACAATTTCTGCCCATAACAGGGATTTATTTTGTGTCAGCTTAAACATTAAACTAATGTTGTCACTGCACACATGAACAGGCACATGTATAATTTCAGAATAATATACTATCTGAAACAGTGAACCTTAACAGTGCAGTGTTGATATCAAGATGTCTTCCCCTCATCCACAGTTGTAAACATTCTCAGAGCAGTATGTTACATTGTAATTATTTTCATATGCCTTGTTATTAATTTAACAGATTAGGTAGATATAACCAATTGGTTAGCTATAAAAGAGTAGGTATTTGCCATTTTCCACAAATCATTTGATCAGGTCAGGTTATTGTTCTGTGACATATACAGAGATCAGGTTCAAGGTCTGGGGCACTTGACAGGTCAGCTTGTAGGACTGTGACACATTTGGACAGATCAGGCTCAAAATCTGTGACTGTTGTGGTCAGGTCAGGTTTAAGGTCTTTGACAAATGTGGGTTATTCCCAAAAAGTAAGTTTTAATTTTGTTGATTGAATGTGGAGTTGAGTCAAGAATTGACATCACATCACTCAGGGCATTCCCATGCATGCTCTTTCCTCATCTTCAGCAGCCAGCGCAGAGTTCTAATACCAATGGTACCGGTCACAATCTGGTTAAATGTCTGTTTTGCCTTTCCTCTGTGTAGTGAGCCGGCCATACCCTATGGTCACACCCAGGTGCCTCATTCTCTCCAAGCCATGATAATAATTTTCGTCTACTGATTCCGTTGCTTGTTCCCAAAGGGCCTTGATCACATCTGCTTTTTCATGTATCAGTTCACCACCAAGTGGTGCAGGTCTAGCCAATCTGTCTGCCTGTTCATTACCCACCACGCCTCTATAGCCTGGAGAAAAGATCCAAAGTATGCCCACTACCTGTGATCTTCCCAGTGAAGTTCGCCACTCTGCTCGAAGCATCCCTGTCTTCACCTTTTTAAGCAAGCTTTCAGAGTCTGTTACAATTATGACATGGGTATGCATCTTGTTCTCTAGCCACCGGAGAGCTGCAGCCACTAATCTGCTTGCCCAATGTTCTCCAGCATGCATATATGTCATATTGTTTCTTCTGCTTGAGCCATCCACAGTTTTCCCCCTTTCAACCTCTGACCCTTACCTGCAGCCAAAGCTTCATACAGAGGGTGTTCCCTGTCTGCAGCTACTCTGAGGTATGACTTAGCCTGCAGCACCTTTAGCCTATCTGTAATAGTCGGGCAATGCAAGGATGTATCACATGCACACAATCGGGGTGTCTCTTGTACAACCCAGGATCAATCAAATAGCTTTATTCTGTATGCGCTCCAGTTTCTCTAGCTGACTCTTCGATACAGTGAGTAACCCCAATCCATAATCAATCAATGAGATGATTAAGTGCTGGTAAAGTGGGAAGATAATTCTCTGCTCTATGTCCATCGCTACCATAATCTTTAGTGCATTTAGACCTTATTGAGTCCTTGTCACAACCCCCTCTATGTGATGCTTGAAAGACAAACTTCTGTCAAAGGTGATTCCCAGGTACCGCAGTCTACTGTCTCTTTAGATGCCCCTGCCATTTGTTTTGAGTCTGGGAACATCAGCTCTAACAATCCTGTTGTCCAAAGAACACCACAGTGTGGTCCATGAACCCAGACGGAGAGATGCCCGGCGAGTTTATAAAATGGCTGCTATCCAACCTACCAACCAAGGACAGACTCCCTTTTCCATAAGCGCTTTCATCAAGATACTATATTTGACTCGATTGTAGGCGTTTTCTAAATCTAGTGCCGCTGCCACCGTTTCTTGTCTGTTATAGAAACCTTCAAAGGTATCAAAGGCAAAAGTCGCTGCTTAGGACCATGTGTCCTTCCCCTACCGGTAACTTCCCAATCTTCGTGAAAGATTTATCTGTTCCCAAAATTCTTGTAGCTTATCCGCCACTATCTTCTCCAGCACTTTACCAAAGGTGTTTTGTAAGGTTATGATCCTAAAGCCGCCGAGTGTTGCATGATTCTTGCCAGGTTCAGGAAGTGGAATCAGGTAGCTGTGCATCCGCTCTTCTGGGACTGAAGCTGTTCTCGTACTCTGGTTGAAGCAAGCAGTCATCTCCAACAGGTCTGCATCACTCATGTCTTTCATGTGGGAATATCTAGCCCAGTCGGGGCCAGATGCAGTGTCTTTTGTCCTTTTCAGAACACCTTTTACATCTACCACCTGTATGGTGTCTTCATAATGTTTGTTCTTTAAGATGGCTGCCAGATCTTCTCTAACTGTATCTCTGTTATCTCCATCATTGTGGTCTGTCTGTGAAATAAACCTCTTCAGAAAAGCCTCCCCCTTCTCTTTGTCTGCAATCAAAAGCCTACTGTCATCTCTATGGATTGTTCCTACTACACTAGGCCGATCTTTCTTGAGCAGCTGTCTATGTAGCTTCCAAAACTTTCCCAATGCCTTATCGCTCCCAATCTCATTCATAAAATTGCTCCCATTCTCATTCATAAAATGCTCCCAATCTCATTCATAAAATGCTCCCAATCTCATTCATAAAATGCTCCCAATCTCATTCATAAAATGCTCCCAATCTCATTCATAAAATGCTCCCAATCTCATTCATAAAATGCTCCCAATCTCATTCATAAAATGCTCCCAATCTCATTCATAAAATGCTCCCAATCTCATTCATAAAATGCTCCCAATCTCATTCATAAAATGCTCCCAATCTCATTCATAAAATGCTCCCATTTTGTTTTTTTTGCCTCTTCCGAGCAACGCTTGAAAAACTGTATCTCATCTTTCTTATCTCTTTCTCTAACTCCTCCTGTGAGCTTAGGGCTGTCTGTCTCTTTCTTTAATACCTTGCTGCAACTCTTTTTACCTTCCATGCTTGTTCAACCTGTGATGTCCACCATGGAGGCTGCACACAAGTAGATCTGCTGGCCCTCTTACATGCCCTCTGTTAAAGAAGTCCAAGACGGAAGTTAGTCCGCTCATACTTGAAAGGCATATGAGCTCTTGAAACCTTGACTTTCCTAGATTTGGAGATCAATACCGAACATGGCAGATGGTCACTTCCATGATCACCCAGGACAGTCCATTCGGTGTCCAGTACAGCTGACTGTGTGACCAGAGCCAAGTCAATAGCCCTGTCTGCATCGCCGAGGTCTCATTTCCATTCTAGTTGGCGTCCCATCATTTAAAGAGACAAGGTCTGAATCAACCATGGCGTCAGCAAGGGCAACTTCCTGTCGGTTTTCCCCAGTACTGTCCCATTCATTGTTCCGTGCATTGAAATCCCCATAAATGAGGAGCCTGTTGCCAGGAATTCCCTCCAGGTCTTTCGGCCAGTCCCATTGTTGCCAGGAATCCCCTCCAGGTCTTTCAGCCAGTCCCACTGTTGCCAGGGATCTCCTCCAGGTCTTTCAGCCAGTCCCGCTGTTGCCAGGGATCTCCAGGTCTTTCAGCCAGTCCCACTGTTGCCAGGGATCTCCTCCAGGTCTTTTAGCCAGTCCCATTGTTGCCAGGGATCTCCTCCAGGTCTTTCAGCCAGTCCCACTGTTGCCAGGAATCCCCTCCAGGTCTTTCAACCAGTCCCACTGTTGCCAGGGATCTCCTCCAGGTCTTTCAACCAGTCCCACTGTTGCCAGGGATCTCCTCCAAGTCTTTAAGCCAGTCCCACTGTTGCCAGGGATCCCCTCCAGGTCTTTCAGTCAGTCCCACTTTTGTTTTGAAACTAAAGATCCCACGGCAGCATAGACATTAATTAATGTTCCAACGTAGGCCACCAATCTCCATCTATATTCCCTGCACCTCTCTAGCGTCATTGTTCCAAAGACTCAGCTCAAGCACCACATGTTTCAAGCCCTCCTTCACCAGCAGACATTGCCCATGTCTCCCATGTCCAGCAGTGTTTACGTAGCTGACAAATCCGGGGCAATGATATTTATCTGCATTCAGCACTTGAAGCATGACTACATCAAAGTCGTAAATTAACCTCTCTAGTATGGGACCCTCTCTGTCTGGCACAACAGTTCCAGAAGCATGACTACATCAGAGCCATAAATCAACCCCTCTAGTATGGGCCCCTCTCTGGCACTGCAACAGTTCCAAAAACACATGATTGAACCCAAGCTCTTCAGTTTTTTGCCTACCTCTCCTGGCTTATGCCCTTCTGTTTCTCTGCTTTCTTTTCTCATAATTTCCTCGTTTTCTCCTCTTCACTGCTTGCTGAAGGTCAAGCTTAGAGCACATGCTCCATAGCTCCGGTGACAATTCTTATTAAATTAAAAGCAAAAATCCATATGTTGAAGTTGTTATGGAGCAGGAAATAACCGGTCACCCTAATAGAGCCTGCCTGCTAGGGAAGAGGCAATGGATGTCCTTGTGGAGTCCATACGCCTAGTACCGCCCCACCCACTGACTATCATACAGCCATTCAGCCCCTCAGCACGTAGATCCAATTTAGGCTTGGTTTTTGTTATCGGGGTTGTCTCCTCTAGATCTGTTGTTTTGTCCCAGGACCGTGAGGTCCTGGTTAACAGGGTCACCTCAGGAAAGATGTGCTTCAATGGTCACACCCAACGGTCTTGATTGTAGAAAGTTTTACCAGGTCAGAGGACTTACCACCTAAGTGCGCCCTTTTCACCTGTAAGGCTAGACCCAGAGATCCACAAGGGGGAACAGCTGGAGTGTTCCACTGCCCGAGAGTCTTAGCCACTACAGCCCTGAGTCTTCATGACCCTCGACCCCTGTTGGTTGAATGTTTGCAGTTTTAATTTTCAGAATTGATCATCTTGAGTTAAGTGGGGTAAATATTACATCTACAATCTTGAGTTAAGTAGGGTAAATATTATATCTACAATCTAAAGTTGTGTGTGGTATAAATTATGTCTACAATCTTGAGTTGTGTGTGGTACATATTGT